GAGGAGGAGGTGGTGGTGGTGGTGGAGGTGGAGGTGGTGGAGGTGGTGGAGGAGGTGGAGGTGGTGGTGGTGGAGGAGGAGGAGGACTTGAAGAGCAGTCTCCCATCGTTATAGAGAGCACTTCTTAATACAAGTTAGGTGATATGTAAGTAAAAGTCAAATGATGTATTGGATTTTGCTAATTTATTTCCTTGGTAGAAGAGTTTAGGGCTAAACTCCTCTTTATAGATGTTTAAAATCTTCTAGTGCTTCAGTGGGTTCCTTATGAGGAAGTCACATGATTCCCTATGTCCTTCCACTGAAATGTACTATATATATAGCTACTTTTGATTTTGGTTTTTCTGATAGCTTGTGAGCATCGTTTCTTCCTATTAATTATGTACCATATATATGTGTATTTCATATATCGTATCTCGTTTATATGGTTTTGTAATATCCAGTAAGTGGTTGAGCGTATATGTTATAATTGGCAACTTCCTACGTACTAAGTGTGAATAAGTTTTTGCATGCTAAGTGTGAATAAGTTTTGCACGAATTGTTGTGAAATGTTTCGCAGAGAATATGCTATTATTTATAAAGATTAAAAAAATATGCTACTCACTTCAAATGTCAGTGTGAAGTATTTTCCCTTCTATTATTAAATATGTCCTCCTACTGAAACGTACTATATAGCTACTTTTTATTTTGGTCTATTCTAATTATTATTTGAAGCTTGCAGGCACGGTGCTTCCTATTACGTACCATATATTTCTGTATTTCATTATCATGTGTACGGCGTATGGTTTTTTATTATCTTTATGTGAAAAATATGGATTTTTATAAGCGCCATATCTTCCATATCTTATTTCTCATTTTGTGTCTCAGGATGGTATTGTTTGGTGCTTGGTTTTTTTTCTGATATGCTGATGTTGTTTCTTTCGGCCCTGTTGGGCTTGTTTTCTTCTTGTGTGTTCTTTTGCTGGCTTTGAGCCTTGTTTCTAATGAAAACTCTTTCATTAAAAGGCGGACCCAGTGCTAAAAAGACTACCGTATTATGATAGGTTTGGAAAAAAATTCAATCTCATATGTACGCGGTTTTACTCCTGAAAGAAATGTCATTTTCGAGATTCGACCTTTGGACCCCGGGTGCAAACACAAGCGCTCCCACCACGGTGTCATGGCCCGCGTTCAATGAAAACTCTTTCATTAAAAAAAAAAACACTAATAATGAAAGTAAGAGAAATATAATAGTAATGATGATGATGATGATGGCCCGCCTTCAATGAAAACTCTTTCATTAAAAAAAAACACTAATAATGAAACTAAGAGAAATATAATAGTAATGATGATGATGATGATGATGATGATGATGACAGAAGAAGAAGGAGGAGGTGGAGGTGGTGGTTATAAAATATATAGCTATATTATTATGTTCTACAGAGATCATCACACAAATAGCTAACGACCCACAAGTTGTTATGTACACAAGAGTTGTGTGAGAGACTCATGTACTTTCCTTCATTAATTAATTGCTATACGCGGTATAACCCATTGATTTTTTTTTTTTTTTTTTTTTTTTTTTTTTTCGTTTATCAATCCGAGCAACACGAATCATTAAAAGACATGTCCTTTAATGGGAATCCTTTGACAGTAGTTTTGTTCTAGGCATGTATGATCAATCAATATCAATTATGAAAGAATATAACATTGATCAAAAGTAATCACCACTACAATGTTTCAATATTCCATAGCTTTTGCAACCAATGTATTCATTATCTGTTGGATATCTAAATTTGTATCACCAAGTTAAATTTTTATCTTTGTTCTACATATAATGACTTTTAACTTTTTAGAAATATATTTTATGGCATGAATATATATATATATATACACACACACACACACACACACATTGAGTGGATGGAATTATATTAGCACTTAAATTAAGCAGCATTTTATCAGTACTCATGACACGACATAAAATTTGATATAATTCTTAGGGCAACTGCGAAACTGTGAAGCACAAAACACATTTTTTCTTTTCTTTTGTTTTTTTCCTTTTTAGTTTATTTGCATCAAAATTCTTATAATGTTTTTTTGGCTACATCCTGTTAAAGATGGTCTAAATGACTCGATCTATATGTAATTCGGAAAAAAAAAATTGAGTAAGCGATATTGAGAATTTTGAAAGATAAGATGAAGGCACGTAGTACCAGATATATATGCGCTCTCGTTTCTATTTGTTGAATTAATCTTAATATTAATCAGACTTTGCTCATCTTTATCATATATATATATATATATATATATCCTAAGTCATTTTATACATGATCGCGCAATAATTAGAACCATATATAAGAGTCAAAAAAAAAAAAAATGGAGAGCAGGAGGGACATATATTACGAAATACAAATTAGAAAAACGAACTGCTAATTCATTTATATATATATATATATATGTTTATATATATGTTTTATAGTATGCTGCGAAGCCCTAAACGTTAAATAATAAAATCAGAGGGTGCACTTGTAATGGAAGACTAAAGGTGACTAAATGGCAAAACAAATATAGGTAGGTAGTTCAAATTTCACGTGCTTACATTTACTTGACACAGTGGGAGAATATATTGGAAAATAGTGCAACATCCTTGAGATGTCCAAAGATGGATGAGTGCCATGTATATATATGCAGTCCGGAAGTGATTAGTAGTCCTCGATCAAAATATCCCTCCCTTTTTCAGGGGCAGGGGAAGGGGCGCGGGGAGAAGGAGTGGAAGGAGGAGCCGGGGCAGGGACAGTAGGAGGGGAAGGAGGGACACGGGTAGGGATTGGATCGGGGGAGCGAGGAGGAGTAGGAGGAGGAGGTGGCGGAGGTGGTGGCGGAGGTGGTGGCGGAGGAGGGGGAGGAGGAGGTGGTGGCGGAGGTGGTGGTGGAGGAGGGGGAGGAGAGGAGGAGGCGGCGGAGGTGGTGGCGGAGGAGGGGGAGGAGGAGGTGGAGGTGGTGGCGGAGGAGAAGGATGAGAAGATCCGCCGCCCATCGTTATAGAGAGCACTTCTTAATACAAATTAGGTGATATGTAAGTAAAACTCAAATGATCTATTGGATTTTGCTAATTCATTTGCTTGGTAGAAGAGTTGAGGGCTAAACTCCTCTTTATAGATGTGTAAAATCTTCTAGTGCTTCTGTGGGTTCCTTATGAGGAATTCACATGATTCCATATGTCCTCCCACTGAAATGTACTATATAGCTACTTTTGCTTTGATTGTTCTGATAAGCTTGCGAGCATCGTTTCTTCCTATTAATTACGTACCATATATATGTGTATTTCATATATCATATGTCGTATATATGGTTTTGTATTATCCGATAATTTAGTGGTTGAGCGTATATGTTATAATTGGCAACTTCTTTTTTATCTATTCCTACATACTATGTGTGAATAAATTTTTGCATGCTAAGTGTGATAAGTTTTGCACGAATTGTTGTGAAATGTTTCGCACATGACGAGAATATGCGAAACGTTCTGCAAGGGATTCTTCCCTGCCTTTAGGTGAGTTTTTTATTTTGATTTTTTCTATCCTTTTTTTTCGTTTTTATCTTTATTTCTTTATTTCTTTCTTTTTTTAATAATTTATATAACTATTATCTTAAATAAGTTAAGCGCGCCGAGCGTTAAGAGTACTGATAAAACTTTTTTTTCAATAAATATATTTGTTGAAACGATAAAATAAATAACTTTGAAACCCTAGTTCGGTCTAATATTGGTGGAATATTTTGAGCCAAATGATTAGACATGCTGTTTGAAAAAGAAAAAATAAACATTAAAGGGAGCCCGCCTCGACCTCTTTGCAAGAGAAAATGAGTTGATAATAATACAAACAGAGATACGTGCATATATATATATATATATATATATGTGTGTGTGTGTGTGTGTGTGTGTGTGTGTGTGTTTTTCTTCAAAAGAGGAGAAAATATTGAGCTTTAGTAGGGAAGACAATTAATTACTTGTTCAAATTTACAAAGGTTCAATAATGATCATGTCGCTTCTCGGGATTATAAACATCATAATGTAGTCGACATTCGACTGTATGTATCCATTCCCCGTCTCCTATCCGTAAAATCGTATTTACCAACGGGTGTGTCCTCTTGATCATGATCATGACCTTGATGATTGTGATCCTCTGATTCTTTCCCAGAATCATATTGTTCTTCATGAGAGCTACTATCGCTAGGAACATTATCATCAGAAACACCACGATCATCTTGCTCACGATAATTAGAAGATCAAGATTGAGGGTGAAGCTGATCATCTGGAGAAGGATGAGGATGAGAATTCAAATGATCGTATTGGTGAAGATGAGGAGAAGGAATTTTATGATCATGTCGAGGAGGATCACGTGGATGAGAAGTAGAAGGGGGAGTAGTCCGAGGAACATTCGGATGATCGTATTGGTGGGAAGGAGAAGGATTCAAATGATCATATTTAGGACGATGAAGATCATGAGATGTGGGAGCTGGTTTAGTAGGAGGATGATTTATTATATGATCATGTTGTTGATCAGGAGGAGCATTCAGATGATCAAATTGATGATGAGAAGGATCGGGAGAATGTAAAAGGCCGAATTTAGGAGGCCGAGAAGGCGAAGGAGTAGTATGAGGATTCATATGATTATTTTTATTAACCCGAGGAGACGGAGAAGGATTCATATCATGATGATGTCGAGGAGGGCAAGGAGGCGGGGGATTCAGATAATCGTAAAGAGGAGGACGTCGAGGAGGAGGAGGAGGAGGAGGAGATGGAGGAGGAGGAGGGGGAGGAGGATCTGGATCAGGAGACTTGAAACAATAGCAACAACGGAGAATTAGATTTCCCATATTCTTATGTACAAAACCAAGTAGAGCAATTAAAAAGGAAATAGTAGTGTGTTTTTAGATATGACTATAGTTGCATTGGTTCATCGACGCTAGATGGACCAAAAATTGGTTATATACAAGTGGAAGGATAAGTTTCAACGACATAATTTCCATTACAACAAAATATTCCTACTAAAAGCTTTCTCAAAATAAAGACAATACTTTTGATTTGTATATAATATATTTGAGAACTTTCCTTGGAGCAAATAATAAAGAAATTGGAATACCGGTAAATGGGGAAGTGCTTTCTTATAGTGGTATATTATGTACTTCACAAGCAAAGGAACGTTGATCTTCTTCATGAAGCCCCCTTTGCTTTAGTACTTTAGCCAAAATTATAATAATAACACATGAAGCGCAAAGTGATATATTTATACATTTCTTTTGGGTTTGATTTGAGCATTGGCTCAAGCTCATTTGTAGCTTGGCTTCGCCTTTGTTCCATGACTTCAAATCAAGTTGCAACATTAATGTTTTGGGGCTTTTAACGTAATAATACCTCCCACTCTTAATTAAAAATGGTAGTAAATAGCAGATTTTATGAAATTAGAAGAATCAAACTTTCTTTTATTGCCTCGGGTGCTGCACTTCCCGGTTTTATAAATAATTTACGTGGTAAAAAAATTTTATTTACATAAAAAAAAATATTTTTGCGAGTCGTAAATAAAAAATTTATACAGTAAACTGCTGTTTACTTCAAATAGTTTTAAAATTTCATATTTACTTCAATTACTTACAACCTATTTATTTCATTCTCCCTAGTTTAATCTCAATACATTTAATAAATTAAGGATTTGGTACAATATTGTTGTTACTAAAATAAGATAAGTTTGGCAAAATACCAAGGGAATAAGTCATTGGTGAATCAGATTCCTCACTAAGCTTTTCTTTCATGCGTGTATAGTACGTAAATATATACATGCATATAGCTAGCAATGACAATGTATAGCATATTCGGACCTTAATTCTATTCCGGGCTAATATGCTTCTTTCTCAAGTACATATATATAACCTCTATCTGTCTGACTACTGTCTCATTAAAACAAATTAAACAAATGATCCTAGGTAATAACGGTTGATCTAATTGGGATTGATTTTATAGGCTTATCTCAATTTAGCAAGAGTTTTTCTTAACACAACCTCGTTTGGTTATAAAGCCACTTTTTCCTTACTAATTTGACCACGTTTAATTTGTGTGTGTGTATATATATATATATATATATATATTTAACATATTAGATTACTGATTGACACAAAACTAAATACACTGTGGTTATGATGGGCATCGTGTTATTTTCACAACTCTAGCTCAAAACTTGAGTTTGAAAGTAAATTTTATGTGAGAGAGAATATTATAACAAAAAAGTTAAATTTAATTTTTTATGAGAAAACATTATAATAATAAAGTTTAAATTATGATTCGAGTCGTGAACAGAACGAGGCCTAACAAAACATGATGTACACAAGGTTTTGGGTTTTGAAGTAGAATATAATGCGATTTGGATGTCAACAGATTTTGAAAGTTACAGCAGTCCTGTAGAATAAAGGGCTTTGGAGTAAAGTGGCTAGAGATCAAAATAAGAAGATCAACTGAAGTTTTAACAAACAAAAAAAATGGAAGATCAGCTGAAGAGGAGCTAGTTGGCATGAATTGAATGTAATGTGGTTCATATTGGTTATAACATGTGGTCAAACGACACAATATGTGTGTATAATTTTCGTTCCTCGTCTATTGTTTTTCCTTCATTTTTTATAGTTTGAACTGCATCAAAAGTCTCTCTAAATTTTTGTTACGGTTTCTAATTAGCTCGTCGAATATATTGGTGATGAATAGAAATTAATAATTGTCAACGTTTATTTGTTTATTCTCTGTCCAAGTAATGTAAATCATGTTGCATTATCTAGAAAGTGTAATCCACACCATTGGCCCTCAAACTCCTTTGTAGGTAATAAGTTGATCCTTTACAACAACAACAACAACAAAAAAAAAAGAAGATTCTCAATTTGATTTAATATGTTTATTTAAAAAAAATTATAAATGGTAATTTAAGGCCCGTTTATTTCGCTTGTTCTAAATGAGAACTTAACTTGAAAAATAAATTTATGAGAAAGGAAAATAGGTCTGTTGTAGAAAATTTTAAATTTAAATTTTTATTAGAAAAAATATTAAATTAAAAAGTTTGAGTTATGATTCTAATGGTAAAACAAACAAAAACCTTAGTGTACCTCACATAATATAGAAAATGAACAAAAAAAAAAAAGGAATTCTTACATCTTTTGGTAGTGGTTCTCTCAATCGAATAGAAAGGAATGAATACCAAATTTATTTATATACCTTTCATGTTATAAATCAATGATTAGTTGCTTATGTACATTTTAATAGTCACATATTGATAGACTTTTTTAATCCTAAATTTAATATATATATATATATATAAACACTAGAAAGATAATTGAATTGTTTGCCACCAATAAATAACTATATTAAAATAGAAATGAGTACTAATCCTTATATATATATATATATATATTTAAAACATTGAAAGTTCGTCTATATATTGTTTTTTAAATCCTTTGGTTATGACTATATTAAAATAGAAATGAGTACTTAAAACATCCTAATTAAGTTAGCACCATCTAAATAATGATTATGACAATACGTTTAAGCTAGCTAACCAATTACGTTGAGACTTCCTTGGGTTACCACTATAATATTCCGAGATCACAAACCATTCGTAGCCCTCGGCCGCCTCGTTGAAATCCGTGACGCCGGGCATTTTTTGTTCTTCTGAGGAGCTTCATAGCCCGTGTTTGGTTGCGGGTACAAGTACTGCCCTTGAGTGGGATAATAAGCAGGAATAGGGGCAGAAACAGTAGTGGCAGTACTAGAACGAGAACATCGACTATTTTTGTTTCCCATCATTGTTGTATGTAGAAAGCACAAGAAGCTAAAGAAGCTATATATACATATTTATATATATCTATATATATATATATATAAAGATCAAGATATACTACAAATTATGTTTTGTTTTGCTTCTCTTGGTTTAAGAGTTGGTCCGGCCAAAGCCCCTATTTATAGAATTCACGTGAGAAATCTTCTAGTTGCCTTTGTGTCTGTCCACTGAAACAGTACTTTCGATTTCAGCCCTTTTTTTTTTTTTTTTTTTTTGCAAGCTTTCTTTTGAAGGTTGGCGGCGATAATTAGTAAATAATTAGGCCTTGTTTATTTGACTAATTCGAGTTTATAATTCAAGTTTTACTACAGTAAAAAATTCTCATAAATAGTCACATTTAACTTTTTTACTACAGTAAAAAGCTCACACATAAACTTACATCTAAACTCGAATCAGCAAACTAAAAGGCCGTTAATGTTTAGCGTACGGGTTTAATATATCTAGTCATGTGGCTGAATGATGTTTATTTGAGAAAAGAAATAGATCTGAAGAGCAGTATCAAATCGTCATGAATCAAGTAATAGAGATCAAGGAAAATACTAAAATATTATAAGTAAGAATAACGAGTACTTTAGAAACAGCTTTATGCATGCATGGGGGGATCAAAGCGAATATATATGGAATTAAGGTTCCAAATTAATAACTCAAGTTCATCACGTGATTGTACTTAATTCGTTTTTGTTCTAGACTTTTTCTTTATAACGGTATTTGCATTTCAAATAAAAGAAATACAAATAATAATTAAGACACAAAAGGCCCCAACGAGTTTAATGACTAAATTTTATCCACAGACTGAAATCAGCAGTAAAAAGGTAATGTAGTATCTAGTTATTATGTACTAATTAGAATACACATAGGCACTTTTATTTTATTTTAATAAATTAAGTGAGGACTCGGTGTGATTAATTCTCTTACTTAGGAAACATATTATATATATGTATATATATCTATATTACACGTAATATGGAGACGCTAATATTACACAATAGTTATGTGTGGAGACTTTCAAATTTGTGAGTAGCATGTCATCAGATATGTAATGTTTAATTTCCGGTTCATCTTCATGACATTATATATTTTTTAAAAATTATACAAATAAGAAAAACGAATAATTAGCATCGGAGAATTTTAAAGCATCCCAATTAACACTTACTAGAACTCTCATCCTCTCTCAAACCCGGTGTAGTGATAATCATGACATATCAATATTATCATGACATATCAATGAGGATAGTGTAAACAAACTTTGGAAAAGACTAATAGTCTTTTGGATATACGTCTTTGGTTCATATAAACAATTATTTCACGCACGCCATATTGCAATGTTTAAATTTAACATTTGAAAACAAACTTTTTATTGATGTCCCTCAACTCTCAATTAGTCTCAACGTTACATGGTTAACCAAAAAAATTTACTTTGAACGCAAAGTGAGAGAAAATTTGATGTAGCATATTTTGCTTGATGACTGAGACTAATTGCCATAATTAATTAAATAGTTAAAAAAGCATAGAAAGGAATCCCCGAGTACTCTTTAATGGGTGAGGACAAGCCCTTTTTGGCATGAATGGTAGACATAATTCTTGTGTTCCTTCTCCAAATAAAAATATGACATGTATGTGATATATTAATATTAATGTATGGTTCCCCGTATATTATTATTTTACAGCAAAGAACAGATAATCTAAGTTTAGGGATTAATATTAAACTTTGGCGCTTATATATTAAGCTAATTGGCCTTTACAAAATAAATATCTGAGTCATGAATTATTCCTTTTTTTTTTTTTTTTTTTTTTTACAAATTTACCTGTGCATTCCACCTTTTGGTTTACATGAACATGATCTTATTAATTTGTAATTAAATTCAATCTCCACAGGGTATCGGGCCCTGGATTGATTTGGAATCGGTATATATTATTTATCTTGAGAATAAATATTAAAAGTACGTATATTGTCATATATACATACATATACACACACATATTATATTGAACTAGCTAGGAAAG